AAGGTCGTCGGAACCGGGCTTCATAGGGTGGATACGTTTAGAGGGAAGACACTTGGATTCCTAAAGTGAGTAACATCAATCCGTTGAAGTTATCAAACCGGGAACCGATTCCCACAATCCACATCGTCGTTGAAGGAGTTCAAGACATTCGGTAAATACTTTGTATTTGTATTTATTTTATATAACAAATCAAAATTTGTATATGATGCATGTTTTAAAGATGACTATCAGTTAATTCGCAATTAGTATGTGCGGGTGTTGTATTTATACGATAAATACTTATTTTGAAAAATTTTAAATTCCGCTGCTTAAAGCCCGTACTGTACTAGCGAACACAACAATTGTATCATGGGGTTGCTCCACAATATAAAGAGAACTAACCACTCTCATGAAAATTATAATGAGGGGATAAGTGGTGTCATTATATAGATATAAATATAACACATATGACCAAATATTAAATAACACACATCTAAAAGCTTTGACAGGAGGGTGCTGTTTTTTGTCAGTTAGTATTTTTATTATTTTGTTTTTGAGATCTCTTTGTAAATAAGGGAGATGATTAGTGTTGGTTGATGTAGGTTTTGTTTGTTCTCTGTTTGTAGGTTTTGGTAGCTGTAGGCTGTTGTTATTTTCTTTCTTTAGGTCTTTGTTTTGTTCTGTTTGGGTTATCTGGTGGTATGTATGTAAATCCAATGGATGATGTTGTGGATAGTCTGTAAATATTGTTGGTTATTGTTGTTAATAATATTTGGCCGAAAAAAAAGTATGTAAATGAAATGTAAAGCAAAACATATGATCCCAATGGGCGAACACAGTGACAATTTTTTATTACAACAACTCATAAATGGTACAGTTCTTCAAACAGCTGCAAACAAAAAATAGAATTTAACTTCTTACCATCCTCCGAATTTCGACAAGGCACGAACCAGAGGACCTGGTGGATTATTAACTTGAAAAGTAGATTTGCAAAGACATGGAAAAAACAGACAAAGATCAACAAACTTATCATGTCACTGATAAATTCCCCACATTAGCCTCCCTATTTTTTGTACGGAGACGTCGATGATGCAGTAGAGCTGTTTGGAATCTCACCTGCATCATCTATTTGATTGTCCCATTCATGGGTCGCCCAATGCTTCTTGAACTTTCCTAAAACATCCGATGTAGAAGCAATGGTGGTTGGTGGGTGTTCGGGGTCCGGGAGTGACGATACGCTTGCAGATTCGGAATTGTACCAAGCCAGCTCATAATGAAAGCAATTATTTGTGTTGTCCGACTCATTCTTAATAGCCAAATAGGGATTATCATAGTCGTTATCGTCATCGTGATTGTCTTCAAAATCATCATCAGAAATTTCAATTACCTGGTTAGCCTCATCTTCGTGTACGACATTGGGACCAGCTCCGAATAAGCACTCCAGACCGTCAAGTACGTTTTCTCCCTCGTTCACGTAGGCCATTGCTAGCTTTTCATTCTACGTAATTGAAAAAAATATAAAATATCACAAACATAAAAAAGATGTTCAAAACCGACGAACAATTACGATATGATATAATAGAACAAAAAATGAACCAGCAAAATACTTACTCGAATGATATACTCCCACGTACGGTCGTCCGCATGCACTTTATTGTTTCTCGGCATGAACATAACCCCGCTTTGATGTCTTATCCAGCTAAAGACCTTATAGCGTTTGAGAAGCTTACGCATTTTTCCTTGGCAAAAATTTAAGTCAAAGTTCTTACCATATTGTGCATTCACGACACCCATAGCACTCAAAATGGCATGATGGTTTGGATGGCCAATCTCGAAATTTCCTGCTTTCGCTTGTTCAACTAGTTCGTCCACGAACTTCTTTTCAATTTCTCTAGTCCATTCGCCACCATAAAACACCTTGCTTTGTGAAACAGCTAATTTTGATGATTTACGTGGAGCCATTATGGTTCAAACCACTAGTATAATAAAAACTTCAAAAGAAAAAATAAAGATTAGGAATTGTAAAATGTTGTGTTATTCTGGGACTTGCTATTGCTCAAAGATCATGTACCTGCTTTATATAATAGGCTGACCACATTAGTAAACAAAGTATGGCTCCACGTGAAATTGAAAAATGAATAATATGTCAGCTTGATATGTGAATGGAATATATTCCATTTTACCTGATGTCAGCTTGATTTGTGGATGGAATATATTCCATTTTACCTGAAATTGAAAAATACAAATGCAAAAGATTCTGATTCCTCGACTGAAAATCCAGTCATATTCTACAGCTTACACCACTTAATCACTTGGTCACATAAGAATTCAAAATGAAACAAATGATAAATTTTTAACCAAAATATAAGGTAGTAACACAGTAACCCAATATATATATTTAAATTGCAATCCCATTGTCATAGCACATATGAGAAGTGGCAATCCACATTACAAAATACAATGATTCTACATTCCACAGTACCAAACACAAACTTCTTCACCAGTTACACTTCAATACTTCATTACAACAATATCAAACAATGGAACATTGGAAACAAAACAAAAATTACCTAAACTAGTTCATCTTGTTTCTATATCATCCAAAACAATAGGTGCCGCATTTTTTGTGTCCAACAATAAGTGCTACATCAAAATGCTTTGTTCTGAAAAATCTCCATCGAAATTTGAGACACCAACCACATTGTTCGAACTTGAAGCCCCTAATGATCCTAATTTACCATTTGTGCCATTTATAGATTTATTTCCACAATTGCCACCTGAATGGCTTAGTGCCCTGCCGCCAGTGCTGCCGCCCAATAAACGGGCAACCACTGACCTTACTCCAGTGCTTGCACCCGAACTTGATGGTTGAAATGGAGTCTCCTTTGGCTTTTCCTTAAGATGAGCAACTGTGACCTGGCGACAAAATTATGCAGAACTATAAACCAGAAGTCGATGAACCGAAAAGAATGTTGAAGGATTTCATAATAAGGAAAAGAATGTTGGGGATTTCATAATAAGGCTTGAATGAAGAGAATCATGTTTTGAGATTTGAACTCAATAACTTAAACAGAAAGGGCTATCATAAATTTTAACATCATTTTCGAGTCAGCAATAGGCATATTACATGTATGAAATATAACAGATTTACCAATATGTTTCACCTCGTTTATTCACTGGAAACTTCCATTTAGTCCTGCAAATTGCCCAAATCAGAAGCTTTCGAGCTTGAGAATAATTAGCTAGCGTCAGATAACTCTTGTATCATCATAAAAACCTCACACTTCACACACAAGCATTTCCAGTTCAAACCTCAAGAACAAAAGTCGACAGTACAAGACAAGCCATTCCAAAGCTCGAGCCTATTTACAATTACACCTATTTACCCAATGCAGCTCACAACAAATGAACATCAACCATCACCAAAAATTCAATCATTTTGCACTATAAAGTTTTAAACATCCAGTAATACATAAACTATCCAAATCCACCAAAAAACAATAATTTCCACAATAAATCATACATAAAAATTATTAAAAAAAAATGTTGATGCAAGTGTTTTGAGAGGGCCGAGTATATTTTGAGAAATAAAGAATGTTGATGTGAAAAAGAGGCTTTACTTGATATGAACCCTAATTTATCCACCAAATCCCCAATTCATGAATTACCTGCACTAATTTAACCAATAAAACCCTAGCTTAACAAACTAAAGAGAATGCATGACAAGGATTATGGAGCTGCAAATATGTAAATCGATTAAACATGTAGTAGTTTACCTGATGAAAATTCGTTTTCATTTTTTCGGTTCAGTCCTCAAAATTTTGAGGAAAGTCACCTTCAAGATTTTATGTGAAACCTGGGCGCGGTTGTTCGACGTCCTTACAAAATTTTTGTGGAGTAAAATTGAGATGTACTAAAATCTTGGACGGGTGATTGTTGCCCTTTTCTTTTTCTCACAGGCAAAATGAAAGTGTTGGTCAGGTTTCTTAAGTTCAGTGGGTGGTGTTAAA